CTGAACATTTCCATCTACCTCTTCTTTCACACACAAAGGATGTGTCAGAGATACCTTCCAGTTTTTCTTTCCACACAAGAAAGGGTATCCTTCTCAGTTTCATTAAGACTGGTGCTAAGCAACAAAATCAAAAGGTGAAGCCTCCCTCCCTGACCCTTTGCCTACTCAGTTTCATCTTTTTCCCTACCTTCCTAAAAAATAATCTTCTTTTAAAAATACTTAAAATAATTTTTATGTACACAAATAATATCTATGTATACTCTTTTGAAAAAATGTCACACATTGTAGTATATGTATATAATGTAAAATCCCTCTAGAATCTGTCATGGCCCCTATCCACTACTCTAGAGAGGTAATCAGATACCTGTGTGCACACTTGATCACTTGCGTTCTCTCTCTCTCTCTCTCTCTCTCTGTCTCGCACACACACACACACACACACTTGCAATGCACACCTGTGTTTGGTTTTAGCATGAAGTTCATCACACTGTACAAATGCTGCATTCCCTTCTTGCATCAGATATCTTTCGTGGCCCCGGGCAGGGAGCTATCTCATTCATTTGCTACAGAGCATTTATTTGCCTGTTGGTGGACATCTAGCCTATTTTCCATGTTTCTACCCTTGGCAGCACTGCACAGTGACTATGCTTGTGCTTGTGATTAGTGTTCATCTTATGTAGACAAGTGAGATCATAGTGTCTTTAATTAATATATATTACTTTATTGGCTTTAAAGTGACTGTGACAATTTTTTTTTTTTCCAGGATATTTTGTTCTCATAACATCAGGTTATAGAACCTGAGGCTCTGGCACTGTCCATGTAATTTGTCCATAAAAGTCATTTGCTGTTAACTTAAAAAAGATAAAAGTTTTTTTTTTTTTTTTGTAATAGTGGGGTGTTTTAAGTTTTTATTTATTTGACAGAGAGAGAAATCACAAGTAGGCAGAGAGGCAGGTGGGGCGGGGGGTGGGTGGGGAGCAGGCTCCCTGCTGAGCAGAGAGCCTGATGCGGGGCTCCATCCCAGGACCCTGAGATCATATCCTGAGCCGAAGGCAGAGGCTTAACCCACTGAACCACCCAGGGGCCCCAAAGATTTTGTATTGTTTTAAAGAAGTTTTGTATTCCAGCAAGCCTGTCCTGTAATTATTTTTTATTATTTTTATTTTTATTCTATTGTCATTTTCTTCATAATTTATTTGGCTCTGTTAAGTAGCACTTGCAGCATATCAGATCCCAGATCAGTACCCTCTTCCTTTCTTAAAAAATAACATGGAGGTCTCCTTTCTACTTAGAGTCACTGCAAAGCTCCTCCAATCCCTGGTCCCAAAGTAACTTCAACATTCTCTAGTGTTCGGTTTGCTAGTGAGGCATGATGGCTGAGGGGCTTAGTGCTGGTTCTGCCAGCCTTGTGATCTGGGGCAAGGAATGTCCTCCTAGGCTTACGGTTAGGATTGAGTGAATTACTATAGTTACTGTACGTAAAGCATATGGCAAGCATATGGTACATAGCAAGGACTCGGTAATTTTTGGCTTATTACTCCATGTAGCTGCTGCCCGTCACTCAGCAAACACTACTATCTGCCCATATTATGTGCTGGGAGCATAAAGATAAATAAGACATGGTCTCAGTGCTTGAGGAGCTTTCACTCTAGCTTGCATATGTTTGCTCAAAATTAAAGTATTTATTCTGTTATCTTTCGATTTGTTTAAACTCTGTCTGTGGCCTGGTTTGCTTTCCTCCCGTGTCAGCTGACTTGGGCATCGTGAAGGACAGCCTCTCACCTCTTCACGAATTCTTTTTAATGGTGATTCAGCACCTGCTGCATTCCCAAAATGTTGTTAAAAACTGGAATGCAGAGATGTTGTGTAAGACAATCTGTAAGAAGCTAACAGGCTCTAGGGAGGAAGAAAAAAGTGGGTTCTGCAAGACTCTTTCCATTCTCTATGATGGCTTTCCACCTATGGACTTGCTCCGTTTTTAGCTTGCATTTCCTCTCCTAATAAATAAAGATAAATAGTCTCCATTCTCTCTTTCCCGGGACAGAGTGTGAAGCGTTAGCAGCAAGAGGGCACTTACTTCTCTTTCTTTATCAATGACCTACCTCACGTCTTTGGACTTTGGACTACTCTTGTTAGGTAGGAGCTGTTTTCTGTCCCCGGACTGAAGAAAAACCAAAGGGGCTTAGAAATCCCTGGCCGTCCATGCCCAGGGGGAACCACTTTGGTAAAAGGACCTTTTGCTGCCACATAACTGCAAAGATTCTGCAGACCACTGAGACCACTGGGTTCATACCCATGCTTTCCAGGGAGTTGTCCCTTCAATGCCATGAACTTCTTTGGGAATGGCACACCTTAGGGAATTCTTGACCTAGAGTAGGAAAAGGTAGCAGTCCTTCATCTCCCTCACATAGATTCTTCTTTAACAAGTAATAAATTCCCTTTCCTAACTCAGGGATATCTCCTTGCTTTGATTATCATTACAAGATTTGTTTGGTTTGTTCATAGTAAGTGTATTAAGTTTGATCTTACGTTAAAAGCCTGTCTGGCACAGAATTTAAATTAATGTCTCGCTGAATTGTGAATGGACACCGAGGCTCCTTTTATTTATTTATTTTCTAAGATTTTATTTATTTATTTGACAGGGAGAGAGAGATCACAAGTAGGCAGAGGCAGGCAGAGAAAGAGGAAGGGAAGCAGGCTCCCTGCTGAGCAGAGAGCCTGATGCTTGGCTGGATTCCAGGACCCTGTGATCATGACCTGAGCTGAAGGCAGAGGCTTAACCCATTGAGCCACCCAGGCGCCCCTCGAGTCTCCTTTTAAAGGAGATGTAAACATTTGTTGCCACAACAGGATCTGAGCATAATACTGAGCTCAAGAAGGATGATTTTCTCAACAGAAATCATTTATTATTGCCGGAGGTAATGTGAAATTACCTATTTTTTCTTGAAGCGTGTTTTTTTGTAAATGTTTTCTAGAGATACATGACTTGAAATTAAAGACACTCTCCTTTGTTAAGACTTTATTTCATTTCATGTATTGTGTTGACCCCTGAGAGAGGGGTCTAGAGAGGAGAAAATGTACATGGTGCTCAAAACCCTATGAATGCTTCCAGCAGATGAGGTGTTCTCCTGACTGCTCCAGAGGGGACTATATCCCTAGTGCTACATTTTGTGTTTTTGGTATCTTTGGTTCATTTATAGAAGCTTGTCCGTTAAAATTCCATATACATTTCATTGGTTTTGAAAAATACTGAGATTGACATAAACCTACTGAAAGGATACTTTGCATTGAAAGTAATACATTTCCTAACCAAAGAAGATACCATTGTTCTAGCATCAGTAGATGTCACTTTTTTTTTTTCTTTTCTTTTAACTTCCCAGTTGTAGTGAAGCTCTTTGGGTCAGCTATCTGGTAATTGTCATAAAAAAAAAGTTATATGTATATTTAACTGGACAGAAGTTAGTGGTTCAAACTGGCCATAAAGTGGAAGGGAATAATGGTGCCATCTTCCCACACACATGAGGTCACACTGCTCATCTCAGCTTTGTGAACATAGTAAGAAACAAGTCATTTCTGACGGAGGTTGTCAAGTTGGAAGAGTAACATCTCCCAGAAGAGAACTTCTGTGTGAATTTTGAAAATTCTATTGGTGGAGGCTTTTGCCCATTTAGCATTGTCAGTATATTACTCTTTATGTTTTACAATTTCTGGTGTACTTCTCACATAAACCTATAGTGCCTTGGCTAGCTGCATTTTCATGATTTTCCACAAGTCCCACAGATTCAAACTTCCTTTCCTTAACTCTTTGCTTTTACCTTCTCTAAGCCCTGGGGATTCTTCTTGGCTCCCAGAAAAAGTTCTCCTTACTCCCTTCCCCCACTCCCCATTTCTCTTTACATAGCCCTCTTTATCTCAAGAGTGTGCTGGTTAATAGCACACTGTGACAGATTGTGTGTGAGGCATGCTGGGTAACGACTAACAACAGCCAGTACATGTCCAGGGCTCTTAGAACCTTAAAAACCTTCTGCCATATGAAATAGGATAAAGCCAGTCTTTCTTCTTTTGACTGCTCGTTTTCCTGAATGCTCTTTCTTAGAAGATCCAATATATCTTCTACACACTCAATCTGTATTAGGAGTGTTGGATTTCTTCCTAACTCCCCTCTCCATCTCTGAAATAGACCCAAGGCTTCACTGAGGACCAGAAGATAGAGTTAGGGTGGCGTGACAGATAGAAATTAGTGAACAGTTTAGGCTTATCCAAAAAAATAAATGCTTAATACATCTGGGTCTTCTTCAAGCTGTCCTCTGCTTTATCCAGCAAAGGGCAAAATGAATCACTCCATAACAAGGGGTCCTAAGAGATAACAAACTCAATTAAAATTGATTTAATTTCTGGGGAGTTCTCCAGATTATACTCCACAAATACTAATATGATAATACCCACTTCAGCCATAAATCATCCCATTGGACCTCGTGTCTCTTTTCCTAGATTATAGATCATGGGCAATAATAGACTGTCTCTTGAATCAACAGGGTGTAAATTTCACTGCTTTGGATTTCCAGTGCAGAAGGTGAGTGGTGAAGAAGTAGGCCCCCGTGGCTCTGTCAGGGAAGGACAGTGGCAGGACAGGTGGCCTCTTAACGCATTTTAACGACCTTTTCTCATTCGATGTCCTCTTTTCCCTCTGAAACTCATTGGAGAATCATTTGCATGTTATATTTCATCTGCATTTATTTCATCCTAACCTCTTCATCCTTCTGTTGAGTTATATGTGCCCTGGAGGAAGCGTTTTCTACCATCTGACAGTTTAGAAAAAAAAAAAAAAGAAAAAGAAAAGAAGGAAAAAGGTGAACAGTGGCACAGTTAGCATGAAAAATGCTGAAGATAAGGAGTAGAAAATGGGAAAAATGTATGTCACTTTGTTAGTTCCGTACAGTATATTTTAAGAAAAGTGGAGCAATAAATTTCTATTAACATATATATTCTTTTAAATTTAGGAATAGACGGACAGTCTGTGGAAGTGTCCAATATCGTGGATATCCGAAAAGAACATAACCGTGAGATTGCAATGAGAATTTCTTCTAGCATAAACAGTCAAAACAGATTTTATACTGACCTGAATGGATACCAGGTAATCTTCCTTTAAAATGTCTAAGTAATAGCGGTGTTAGTGTGCAAGTTTTATGTATGGAAATGGGTCAGTTAATTTCACATCCTTCAAAAAATTCGCTTAAGTTTACAAATTATTTCTAAAGGAAAACTGAATTTTAACAGGTACTTATAGGTTCTATATTCAACCAGATTTCCGAAGTTAGAACAAATATTTGAGAGATTGGTTTGTAGAACATCTGATTTACAGATGTATTTTTTTCAAAGGCAGATTTGGTGACCATTTGCATGTTAAATGACTTGATACCAAAATATATCTGAATTTGTCTCATAGAAAGGAAACATAATTAGGGACTGATGGAGTATATATTTTCCCCTCATAAGGAAACGGTCTGTGTATATTTAATTTATTACATATATACTTTTAAATGTGTAATGTAATAATAGGCTCTTTTAAATTTCAGGGAACTCTTCCCCTCTTTTTATCAATAATGTAAGGGTGTTTACCTTTATGCACACACATATGTGTACATAGACTTAGACAAAGAAATACAAACATGTATCTATTTAGAAATGTGGGTAGGTATATATTTAATCAAAATGTTCACAAAATAGTTTGAAATGGTAATGAGAAAATTGACTCAAAATTTTTCCAGATTGTCAGCATTCTAATTTAATAGGGCTCTTTTGATTGTTACCTAAATCTCTGTATTCAGAGTATATGTATGTAACAACATAGCTTTGAAATAATACTATTAAAAACATTAGCATGTTTTTGAGACATTAGCATTTTAGAAAGTTCTGGCTATGAATAGAAATAATTTCACAACAAATGCTTTTACTTTGTCTGATTTTCAACTGGGTTGAGTGGAAGGGATTGTGGTAATTTTCTCTTGTGCAATTTCCTGCAAAGGTTAAATTTAAACCTTTTCCAAAGCATAAAAATTGCATTATACACTTTGAATTTACATGTTAATTCTACCGCAGCTGTTTGGTTTTCAAATGAAGCCATGACTTTATGGTGATTCATTTTCCTTGTGTACAAAAGAAACTCTTTTTCTTAAAATCTTACAGAAGCAATTATTTGTATGTGTGGGTGTGTACATGAATGAAAAAAAAACTTAGTAAAAGTGAATAAAAATGTGAATTTTCTTTTCAAGGATCAAGCATTTGAATAAATAGGGAAATATTATTTCTAAATTTATAAATGTCTAAATTTATAATGTAAATATTTCTGCTTCTAAAATAGGCCATTTTTTAAGCCTTGGAAAGAGTAGTTCTTGGGCAAAACCAGAAATCTAGACCCACGGGTAGGGAGCATGGCTGGCAGCCCCATAGTCATGACAGTGTGAATGTGTGAATGCCCTTTGCATTGAGTGTACAAGTTAATTTGAATGGAAGGATTAGGACTGGAAAGAAGAAATGGAAAATTCTTTGAAACTATCTTTTTTTTTTTTTTTAACATTTTACAATTGTTTCTTCAGTTTCATAATTTCCTGGGCCTGTGATACCAATTACCACAAACTGGGTGACTTAGAACAGCAGAATTTATTCTGTCACATTTCTGGACAGCAGAAGTCCAAAATCAAGATGTCTTCAGGGCCACACTCCCTCCAGAGTCTGTAGGGAAATACTCTTCCTTGCCTGTTCTAGCTTCTGGAGGCATCAGGCCATTCTGGTCACTGTTGGCTTGTAGAGCCATCACTCCACTGTCTGCCTCTGCTGTCACAGAGTCCCTGTTGTATTCTCCGTGTGTCTCCATTGTGTCCAGACTTCCCTCTTAGAAGGACTCCAGTCCTTGGATTAGAGCCCACCCTAATCCAATATAACTTATGTCTGTAGAGATCCTATTTCAAAATAAAATCACATTCACAGATTGTGGATGGCCATGAATTTGGGGGGGCTCTATTTGGTACAACCAGTAAGTTGAAGGACACACTGTGGGGTTGTTGTAAAGATTAAAGATCGTATTTGTGAATACCTAGTACTTTGCCTAGTTATAATGAGCACTCAATACGTGTTAACTATTACATTAACTTTGTATTTTTTTCCTTCTTGAATGTCATGTCATGTCAAACTTGCATGAGCTGAATAGGAGAGATGTCATTTTTATGTGGTGTGAATAAGATACCTGATAACAAAGTCTCTGTTTGATGTTTCCTGCTGTGGTTTGAGGGAGTCTCCTTGACCCCAGCCAGCTTAGTGCGTTTTCTGTCAAAAAATAAAATAATGTATTTCATGCATTCACATACTAGACCAAGAAAAATTAAAATATGGAACTATCTACATTGAAACTAAACAGGAAAAGTAAGCACTGAAGAGTCTTTAAATATAAATATGAATTTGATTATTTTAGTGTAATATGTTGGAGAATTCGATGAGGGGATCTGTGGTATTTATTAAAACTGATTCAAGAATTATAAAAGATATTTTTTGAAAGGGGATAGAGAGCTATTATGCTTAACATTCATTACAAAAGCAGTATGTTAGATTTAGATGAGAAATGAATACTTAATACCTTTATAATTTGTTTTATGCAAATATTGGAAAGCTAGAAGACTTTTGTTAAGGATTTTTATTCTGAATTTAAATAGGAATACCTATTTTAAAAACCTGGATAAATTCTACTTTTCTCACTTTAAATTTTTCTAAGATCTTCATTTTTTTTATATTGTTTTGAGGAATGTTTTAATTCTTAAATTAGCTCTTCCTTTGAACAAGAAAGGAAGCTATACTCTTTTCTCTTTGGAAGAAAAGTCATCTGTCTGTAGTCAGTACTAATTTTTTGAAGTACATCTGTAAATATCACTTGATTTCTTTTTTTTAAAGTGAACTGTTTGGTCTTTTAGATTCAGCCTAGAATGACAATGAGCAAATTACCTCTTCAAGCAAACGTCTATCCGATGACTACAATGGCCTATATCCAGGATGCCAAACATCGCTTGACATTACTCTCTGCTCAGTCTTTAGGGGTGTCAAGTTTGAAAAGTGGTACGTATTGTTTGGAATCTTTTTGGTTCTTACAAGTTTCATTTCCAAGTGTATAATTTTCCTCTTGGTCATGTGTAATAATTATCATCTTCAGACACTAGCCTCCTTCTTTTGAGAACCAGACTATTAGTTAATTTTGGTTTTGTGAGAATAACATAAAATAACATTATTTGCTCAATCTTCTGAGGAAGAATGAGGGACCTAAAACCCCACAAAACCATTGCTTCTTAAAGATAATTTATCTCCCCTGATAGCTCATTGTTTGCACAGTCTTCTGCCATTGTCATAATGGAATAGCTGTGGAAATTCTCCAGAAGTAAAAGAAGAGAAGTGGCTGGGAGAAAAGTTAGAGAATTTCCAGAGTTGTGTAAGTTCCCACAAACCTAGGTCCTTCTGAATCACAGCCTTCTAGGGCACTACCACCTGAAAGGCGAGAGCTGAAATCATACAGCTAGGGAAAAAAGAGGTGACAGACACAATTTCAAGGATTCTGAAAGAGAGAACAAGATGGAAAGAGAAGATAAATCGTAAACACAGATTAATTTTTATAAAACCTTCTATGGGAGGCTTATGTCCTTCATAATACATATTTTTCATTGTCATTTATATGTAGTCAATTGCTCTTCTTTCTTACATCTTAAGAGTTGCTAAGACAAATGTCTTAAGGAGCCAGACAGATAATAAAGGGGTGCAGGTGCCTGGCTTACCCTTTGCCACAAACCCATTTTTTTTATTAGGCATATGCATACATTCTGTATGTACCCCCCCTCCCCGCCCATGAAAAAGCATACCGTTCCTCTTTCTTCATGGCTTTCGTTACACAAAATCATGAGATGATACTGTAAAACCATGAATGCCATCATAAGGATAATAATGGCCTCATGTCAGGGATGCAGAGGGAGTGGTGGGGCTTTGGCAGGCTGGGGCCCACCACTCCCAGTGTATGACGATGGGGCAGCTGCTGCTCAGTGCTGGACTCTTGTTGCCCTGGGGTAAGGGGCCCCGGGTTGCCAAATTTTTCTGTTGCTGAAGAGTCCAGAAGTCTCGAACTGCTTATGTTTAAATTTTTTAAAAATTAAGTACATTTATAGATTGGACAACTTTACATAAAATTCCTAAATGTGGTTTAGGGGCAGAGGAGCTTTATTTCTCAGCTCGCCTTTATCAAGGGAAGTGACGTAACTGTCTAGTCCATGACTGCTCCACTCCTCATGTCTAGTTCCCTACTTAAGGACCCAGCTTTGAGAATTTAAGGCAAGGTTTGAAAATGGGCTCAAAAGTCACACCTGGCCCAGGTGCCCCTGCTAGAGACACCCAAGTACCCTAGCGTTTGAGTACCTACAAACATAAGAACAATTTTGAGGACAGCCCAGATTTACTGAGTGTCATATATTAAGAGGGCTAACATTTGGAGACAGGGAGAAGAGAGAAATTGCCAAGAGACTGATGTACTAATTTGGGTGTGAAATGATCAATGCCTGAGGAGCAAATTCTAGACAGTTAAATGACTATGGTTCTGGGTGGTTTTTGGATAGGGCTTTTTTTTTTTTTTAGTTTTTGGGTTTTGTTTTGTTTTGTTTTTGAAATTTGTAGTCTCATAGTCTAACTATTATTTACAACTTAAACTAGAGGAAGTGTGGAATTATTGCATAGAAATGAAGGAACCAAATATGACCTCTTCTTGAGCTGGAGGAGAGAGGATAGTTGATGATACTAACGTAATTCCAGGGAGGGAATGGGGTACATGGTGGATGTCTCCAAATCCTGGGGTTTCTTCAGAGAATCCCCAGATACCAAGTAGCCCAAATTGTCTTTCAAATCCTACTTAGATTCTACCCATCTGTATTTGTCTTGTTTCTCCATGTGTGATATATGTTTCCTAACGAACCTCATAAACATTTTTAAATTCCAGATGCTGCCACTAAAAACTTTAGAGGACATAATTTTCTCTTCAGATTAATTCTTTTTAGATCTCACTTAAATTTTGATCTGTCTTGTTTTTAAATTTCATTACCAGATTTTACCAGACATTAATGAAGAAACACAGTCCTATTTTTTACATTTATACTAGCTGCTTTGAGAAAGCCCTTGGTACTGTTTGCTGTACAGATCTGTCTCCTTGGCTTAAATCAGGACCGTGCCTAAACTTAAGAGATCCTTACTAGATGTTGGTATTAAATAACCCTGGCCAGTTTGTTTGTTTGTCTGTTTGTTTTTTAGGTCAGATTGAAGTTATCATGGATCGAAGACTGATGCAAGATGATAATCGCGGCCTTGAGCAAGGTGTCCATGATAACAAGGTTACAGCTAATTTATTTCGAATACTACTGGAAAAAAGAAGTGTTGTGAATATGGTAGGAAAAAAAATAACTCGTATGTTCTGATATTGATTGTTCTTTGCCACCCAAAATTTGACATTATGACTTTCCACTTTTTTTATGACTTAAAATTCCCGGTATTGAGATATCTTTATACTAGATGTAGCCTATAGTCACAAGAAAGAGAACTTCAGTTACACATAAGTCAGATTTGCATTTAGGTCATCTTATTTTTTTATTTTTGCTTATTATGTAGATGGAAAATAATGTTAAGGAATCAGTTTGGATGAAATTTTCTGAAATTATTTTGAAAGAAAATAAGAGTTGAATTTAGGAATAGAACCTCGGCCCATTCTTAGGAGATCAAGTTTGATTAGTAAACTTTATTGGAAACCTTTGTGTGCTTATTCTAGTCCTAGACTCTTCAATTGAAAATGGATTTACTTGTCTGTCTTCTTGCTCAGTTTTCATTTCTCAGAACAAACCCCAGCATTCCATTAAACAATCCGGCTAAAGCTCCATTAGATGTCAAGCAACATGACAATACACCCCTTCAAGGTGACACCAAAGTCATCATCACCGTCCCCCCATGCTTTACTGATTTCCCACCACAGATGACTCTCTATACAGCCCTTTTTTCCCTCATTCTGCTCTCCTCCTTTCTTCACTGACCCATCCCAGATCTTTTCAGCTCTTCTCAGCTGGCAGCCTCCCCACTGACTTCACATTTGACAGGGCTCTCTGTTCTAGGTATCAACCATCTCCTCCCACGCTTTCCGTCTTCCCTCATGTTGCAGTGGAGACGTCACCCTCCTCCTTCCCTCCCCCTGCCCGGCAGAGCCAGCGTTCCCCTAGGAAACCCTTTCTGCAGGCTTTCAGACACTCTTCCTTGTCTCCTATTAGAAATAAAAGCCAAAACAGCCTCCATGCAGACTCCTCCCCTTTTCCCCTGCACTACCGTCCTGGCTCCCACACCCGGTTGAGCCGGTTTGTGAGAGGTTTATGTCATTGCTTCTGTGTCAACAGTCTGTTCATTTTAGTGGTGCTTTAGCCTCCCCCACACACCTTTGCCAGAGTCACCAGATCCAGTAGATGTTTCACACCCTTTCCAGGATCACGAGATCTATCGTCTTAGTTCACCTTGCAGCAACATTTGACACTGACCATGTCACTTCTTAGAAGACAGTCTGAGCCAGCGCTTCCGTGGTACCGTGCTCATTTGGTTTCCCTCCTGCCTCCCAAGTGGTTCTTTCTCTATCTCTCCAATGGTTATTGATTCAGCCACTAAATGTCAGAGCTCCCAAGGGTTGACCTCATGTCTTCTCCTTTTCTCATTGTATACTTTCTCGCTCTGCAATCTCTCCTACTCCTGTGGCTATGTGACCACCTCTACACGGATGAAACCTGCACAAACGTTTCACCTCTAACCTGCAGACCCAACCACTTAGCTGTGTCCTACTGTTCAGAGCCGACATATCCATGATCACTCTCATGATCTCTCTCCCCCTCCAAACCTGCTCTTTTCTAGTGTTCCCTAGACTGGCACCACCTTTCATCCAGTGCCACACATGTAGGAGGGACCTCTCATTGGTACTCTCTTTGGCCTGCCCCTTTCTTAAAACAATAATCACCAGTGCTTGGCTCTCTTATTGCCTAAATATTTCAAATCTATAAACTCGCTTATTAAGACTACCCTAACCTAAACATCATGTCTTTCCCGAATCATTCTGCTCTCTTTTTCCTGACATATGTGTTCTCAATCAAGTAGGCAAAGTGATTTGTTTTTTCAAAACTCAATCTGACCTCACTGCCCCCTTCGGAACCCCTCAGATATCTTCTCATTGCTTTCCTGATAAAAGCCAAAAACCCTTCCCACGGCCTGAAGAGCCCCCTTTGTGATCTGGGCCCTGCCTGTCCCCCAGCCTCATCTAGCATGACTCACACTATTTCTGCTCTGGGCTCACTGATTTTCTTTCAGTCCCAAGTACTCCTCATGCACCCTGCGCCCATGGCACCTTTCCGTGGATATTAATACGTACATACATACATACATACATGGGCATTTCCTTTGCATTTGCCCAGGGAACTATTCAAAGGAGTCGGGTCAGAGCTGCCTTGGTCAACGGCTTTTACTTGAGCAGGCCAGAGCACTGTCTGCAGTGCCTCCTCAGAACTGCGCATCTGTCCTCCGTGCACAGATGTGATTATTTTTGATCATTGTCTCTCTCCTCTTTGGGACCATAACTTCACGGAGAGTGGGGGCCATGTTCCTCTGCTTCTAGAATTGTTCCTAACAGAGGAAGCACCCCATCCTTGTTGCAGGAATGAATGCACGAAGGCATCATCGAGGGAGCCGTAACAGCGCCTGATGCCACCACACTTACCCCAGGCCCCGCTTGCTGCCTCGTCACATGGGGCGTGTTCTCGTCCCCCTGCTCGATTCCAGGGACTCGTCTGCTGCATTTTCATGTGCCCCACACGGCTCCTTGCCTGTGGTAGCTGTTCTATAAATAAAACACTAGTTGATTGAATGAAATGGCAACAGCTCATTAAAGTCAAGAATTCTTCCAGTATCTAGCATCTTTTAGGAAAAAAAGATTTTAATGTCCATTTTTAGATGTCAAGATTTAAACCAGGTCTTGGGATTCGTGGTTTAAATCAATTACTGACAAGATAGCTTAATTTTAGGACTGAAACGGCACAGGAAAATCATTGTCTGAGTGCTGGCAGCTACTATCTTTCTCTCCTCCCGAAAATGTTTCCAGCTTTTATGATTTTTTTTCTCTCTATATAGACACTAATTTGCAAAGCTTCTGTTAACTGTGGCAATAAGCATTTTCATGTCAGATCTATAAAGCTTTCACTTAGAAGTAAAGTAATTTGTTTATTCCCATTCAGAAACTCCTTGGATAGTAATTGATTGAAATTTGATCCAATGTTTTTATAATCCTCTGTTGGTTAAATTTTTCTTTTGCTCAACTCTAGATTCTTGGACTTAGATCAATAGTTTCTTTTAAATAAAAAAAGAACTAGAGAAGAGAAAATACATTTTAATTTCTAGTGACATTGATTAAAAAGACAGTTGATTAAGGAATGTTCCATCTCATATAGCTTAAACTTTCCAGAAAGTATTTTTTTTTTTTCCAGAAAGTACTTTTATTTTCAACTCAGACTCTCATGTTTAAACCATTGACAGTAGGAAGCAGGGTGATGAGGAGACCCTCCCTGTACAAGAAGACATTTTAGCAGGAGGTCTTCAGCCTGCCGGAGCCTCTGGGAGTAATCTGGGTGACTAAGTAGAACCGAGTCCTATTCTTGAGTGTTCCACAGAGAGAGAGTGAGAACAGGGACTAGAGTGATACTTTTGAGATGTGAAGATGTCCAGTGGGTTGCCGTAGCTATATGAGGTGAACTTTCATCCATGGTAATGACACTCAGGGGTCAGCGGAGGTGGAAAATGGGAATTGTCTATTTGGCATTGACCCTTTAGGTTTTGTTTCCTTGATGCTTACTCCCTTTCGCTTCCCGCCGACTGCTGAATATAGTCGAGGGCATTGAACCAATAATTAGAAGTGCTACAAGTATTCAGGTATTACAGTTGTGTCATTTGACCTGTGATACCCGTTATTTACGTGTAAGGTAAAAGAGCTAGGAGAGATTGGATGAAAAGCTCACATGCTTACAGGGCTCAGAGAAGTGATGGCATGAGGGAGGTTGGTCAGGTTTCAGGGCAAACGCTTAAGTGAGGTGACCCCAGGTCTGTGATGGGTATGAGGATACATCCCACTGAGAGCTACAACTCAGCTGCACTTGAGGGAATGTCGGGGCCCTGTGTGACTTGGATTTCCAGTGTTTTGGGTGAAAAAATTAAAAAGTTACCTGTTGTGGGGAGTTTTTTTTATTGTTGTTGACAGTTTCAACATGAAATCTCCTGGATGTTTTTTTTCTTTTTTTGAGAGTTGGCCGAAAAACAGACATTAGTACCATGCAGACCTATCAAAACCTATCTGTAGGCAAATTTAGCCCACAGATCACCAGGCTTTACCTCTGCATTAAATGAAGTTTATTTCTAAATCTTATGATTCATTATATTTTCATTCATTATTTCTTCTGTCTCTGTCTTTTCCTGCATCCTTTCCCCTACTGTATTTTTCTCTCATTTATTTATATTACATTTGCTTGTTGATAGATTAAGTTCAAAAAACATTTATCAAGTTCCCACCATGTATCAGGTCACACCAAATAAGCAAAAGTGATTCAAAATATCATCTCTTATTATCTTAGATAATTTATTTAGCAAGTTTTGATGTAGATGAATGGAAACCTTTGATATTTAGGGATCACATAACTTAAGTGGGCTTAATGAAGGACACTATGGAGCCTAGCAAGAGATTCTGACTTATGAAATAAGGGCTAGAACCCAAAGGAGGTCTCAACTTGGTGTGGTTTGGAATCAGAATGTGCTGGAAACGCTTTATAATTTCATACAGGCTGAAAGGAAGAAGCTAGACCTGAACAGCTTGAAGCCTTCCAACACACAAGAAACCAAATAATGTTTAGAATAGTATATTAGTTACTGCAAGGCTGAGGAATTCATTTACAGCTTAAACAAACACATAAGATTTCCCATAACAAACATGCGTTACCAGCTTTGGGTTTATCATAAAGGTTTCAATTAAAAGATTACCTTTCCAGGAGATTAGTCGAAAAATGATAATTCACCAGCTAAATATCTTGTCAAGCACCTCGTTGCTATAAAAATGTTAAGAAAGTGCATGAATCCTGGAACTTCTGTGAGATTTTGTCCCACCCCGCCTGGCCAGCTTCCAGTGATGTTGTATGTTCTTGGTGCTTTTATAACTCTGAACTACAACTCTTGCATAGACTTCTCTTCCTTATCCTGCTTAGGACAATAAATGGCACAGTTTTCGAATTCTCAAAGCACTTAAATTCATGGCATTGTTTCCTTTGACGAGGCTTATCATTAACATGTTTCTGAGTCTGAATCACTTTCTTAATCCAAAACTTGTTGAAGGGTGAGACTTAGACATTCCGTTCCAAAAAGAGCGGTTTCTTGTGCAAGGTTGTCTGGGGCGACGGTTGCCGGCACATGTCCACAGAGCTGTGTCAGACCGACTGAGATTTTGAGATTTGCTTTGGGGGCTAAACTTTGGCTTCCTAGGGCTCATCCCTGGACATTCTGATTAAGTAGATTTGGGTTAGGGTTCAGGGATCCATGTTTAAATCTTCCCAAGCCATTCTTATGTGTGGTCAGTTTGGGGGCACTGAGAGCCAGGGAAACTGGTGTGGGTCAGGAGGAATGGTACATATGCCCACTACTGTTTGAAAGGTATACAAAATCCATCAAGAAGTAGCCCACCTATTCACTGAAGTGTCCAGGGATTCCTCCAAGGGCAGAGAACAAAGCCAGAGAGCTTTTTCTGAATCTTACTTGACCTAGAATGGACTTAATGCCTTCTGATTCTGATACAGCAGGTGTCTTCTTTTCTGTTGGAATCTTTTATCTTTTATTACTGAAAACTGATTTTGTCAGCATTCCTGACCTAGATTATGAAGTCCTTTGATCTTGGAATACATTTAAAGTTTCCGGTTGAAACTGTTCCCTCAATATTCAACAACATGCATTAAATTTCAGTATTGTTGGTGAATATAATTATCTATGTTTTATTTAATCTTTCTTTTAAAGAAAGAGTGTGGGATGGGTACATATTTTTTTTTTACAACTCTTTCAGACCTGATATATTTTGTCAGTATCTTAATATTACAGTGTCCCTCTACCACCTTTAATTTTTTTTCTCTCTCTCCGTAGTCTGAATTGTAATGGCATCTACAGTTCACTGCTGGCAAGATGCCTGTCACTCTTTGCTCAACACCCTCTGTTCAGTGCTAATCTGACATTCTGAATTTTAAGCCCTGTATCTCCTATAAATCCTATCTTTTCACCTAGATAAGTAGCCAAGCCTTTTATTTGAGCCCCATATTACAAAAAGGATGCAAAATCAGAGGATATCAGTGAAATGGACAGTTTAAAAATAAGATACAAAATTAAATTTGTTCCACGTGTCACTGTTGATCAAAAAACCTTTCTACATAAATTATTTTCTTCTCAGTGTTTTTCTATGTGTGCTCTCTTATACCTTAGGCGTTATTGGTTAAGGTTCTACTTAGTCATTGATTTAATTAATTGAGTGTGTCATCTACCATATGCCTATCCCCAGCCCTGGCAGGCTTATTTAATATCTGAACATGCTGAACCACTTGTCTGAAAGTATATACCATAGCAATGACTAAAATATTTTTTAAATTCTAGTGAATAATTATGTATGAGGTAAATATGTACTAACTATTGCATAACATAATTTAAACAGTTCCTGTTCAGTGGCTGTGATTTACCAAATTTAACAGATCTGGGAATACTGATTGTGCTACTTAAAAATCTTATTTATTTTGAGAGTCCCCCCCCAAAAAAAATCCTATAATTGGGTAACATGTATAGAGCATAACTTTGGATCGCCTCAAGAATTATGGTCTAGTTGAGTATAAATGAAACCATGAGAATATGCTGGGTAAAACCCAAGGGAGAAGAGATCACATTTGATGGTGTGCAAGATGTGTGAATATCCCAACCCGTCTATTTAAGAATTTTGTGGTAGGTTGAGAAAGAGTTTCCATAAAACATTATACCTTATCCTAAAATGTTTTTTTGGAAAACGTTGTTAGGATTTTTAGTACTAAAACAGTGGAAAAAAGATCTTTCTAAACATGAGCTAAGTGGACACTGTTCATTTTTTTACATTGCTTACAGATGAACTTGGTAATCTCTGTGTTGGCTAAGACTGTTAGTTCCAAAATATAATAAAATTAAACATAAACTGCTTATATTTCTTTTCTATTTAAACCCTGTTGGGTAATTCCATTAATAGTGTGAAAACTGCAAATATGTAACACTCAAGCATTTCTGTTTTTTCTTGATAGGAAGAAGAAAAGAAGTCGGTCAGTTATCCTTCTCTCGTTAGCCACGTAACTTCCTTTTTCCTGAATCATCCTGTCTTTACAATGACAGAAAAGATCCCCGTGCCCACCCTTAAGCTGCTAGGTGAATTCTCTCCGTTACTGTCGTCTTTGCCTTGTGACATTCATCTCATTAATCTGAGGACAATACAGTCAAAGGTATATCCCAAAATGTATCTATAAAGAGTTACTTTTTATAATATATTTGATATAAGGGGATAAGAAGCAGAAAGAAATACAGCTGACCCTTAAACAGGAGGAGCTGGAATGCACTGGTCAGCTTACCCAGGTTGTTTTCTATAAACACAGTACAGGACTGAAAATGTATTTTCTCTTCCTTATGATTTTCTGAATAGTTTCTTTTCTCTAGCTTACTTCGTTAAAAGAATACAGTGTAACATACATATAACATATAAAATATGTGCTGATCAACTGTCGATGTTATCAGTAAGGCTTCCAATCAAGCGGAGGCTATTAGTAGTTATGTTTTGGGAGAGTCAGAGTCCTGAGTGGATTTTTGACTTGCGGGGAGGAGGGTGGGGGGTTGTCACCCCTAACCTCCTGCACTGTTCAAGGGTTAACCATACTGTGAGTTTTACTATGCTTCAAGGAGCCTTTAAGAGGACTTGACCTTTAGGCAAAATCATTCTACCTTTCATTTGGTTAGGGAATATTATCTCTTTATAGATAAGAAAGCAAACTCTGGCCCCAGGGTCACATAATAGTAGGTGGGATAACAGGCCTTAAGATCAGCTCTTCTGGCATTTTCCATTCATTTCTCCTTGTTAGCCAGTGTTTCCTGAGGAGTTGGAGAATTAAGAAGCATAGCACTTAATTATTTCTCTATCAGAGGACTTGTACATTGATCTCTTTCTCCTGAAAGTCACTGCAACTCAGACCTTTGCATTGAGAAACAAACTCTTTAAAGACATCTAGAGATGGACTAGAGGAAGAGAGGGAAAGGCTTTATGAGATTCGGAATTTTTATTCAGTTAAGACTGCTTTTGTTTACATGTGTGCCAACTTTTAAAAGTCAGAGATTGCATTTGAAAAGAATAAAAATTAGACATTTGACATCATTTTTGTCTTTCGTGGAGCTGTTTTGATATTGTGAATTGACATATGCATGGCTGGAAATACTAAGTGCTTAGGGATTCTGTAGGGAATGTGATAAATGGCCCGAGTATGAAAAAAAGAGAATGTTCATGTTTGAAGACCATGTAAGAAGAGAAAAATGTTTCGTTTAAGCACAAAGAACTAAAGCAAACCAAAGTAAGGATAAATGCCTGCAAATCTGGACATACAGGGCTTTTAAAACTGTAGTGACCAAGAGAAAGAACTTAGGCCTAACTCTGTAGGAATATCCATTCGGCCCGTGATAATGAATACAGGTGAACGTGGGAGGCCTGCATCTATCTGCATGTGTCAGAAGGCTTATTCGATCATGTGAACAAACCTGCAGGATTTATTTCGTGCCTGCTACGTTACAGTTACAGCTAAAAGCACTAGGGATACCGTTGTGGGCAAACCCATTACAAACAATAACCCCTGCCTTTCTGAAGCATGGATCCTGATGGGGGGAGAAAAATAAAGAAGAAAAAAGAAGAGAGATGTATAATGTGTTAGATGGTGATAAGTGTCAGGGAGGGAAAGCCGGAGGGAAGGATAGCTCTGGAAGTTGACACAAGTTTGCATAGTGTGGTTGGAAGAGGACCTTGCCTTAAGGGTGTTAATGGAGTAAAAATCCGAGGGAGGTTAGAGAATAAGAGACCCATGCAGATTTCTGGAGGTAGAGTGGTCCGGGAAGAGTTACAAGCAAGTAGAAAGGCCCAAACGTGGGTGCTGTGGTGAGAGTAGAAGCTCTGTGGGAGCTGGCCTTTTCTTTGATTCCTTGCATCGTTCTGTTGCCTAGAAGAGCGCTTGCACAAAGAAGGGACTCAGCCACAATTTGCTGATTGAGCAAATCTCATGAGTGCTCTTTCTAGGATTCTGCTAGTCTTTTTGTGGGTTGACTGTTTGACTCATGAAAGGAACACACCAGCGATGGATAGCCTCCCTGAGTTTTCCTCTTATTAATTCATGAGGCAGAGGGAACGAGGGGGTAGAGTGGCGGTTACCAAAGACTCCGAGCCTCAGTCTGCTGCCTCTGGGCATGGATGGTAGAGGATGTTAGCAGCCTATGGATCTGAGGGCTTCTGGGGCACACGGCGGCCACTGTTCCTTCACCTCGTTTCTAGATGTCTCTCCCATGATTATTTTCCGGAAGCAGATCCAGTTGTCTAGAGTCAACAAATGTAGGGTCTCACCCACCATAATCCAGGGCTAGCACCTGTTTTCCATATCACCTCTTTTCTATGGTTACCTGCTTCTTTGATTCTCCCTGCGTGTTGCCTAGCTTTCTGTCACCCAAGTCTCATCTCTTCCCAGATTAAAAATCCCGTTGCTACTAAACTGGTTCACGCTTTCAAGAATTTAGGCTCTGTGTGGTCTGGCCTCTGTGAGGTCTGGTCTGGTGTGGATGCTCACTGTATCCACTTGGCGTCCCCTTGCTCCTCATGCCCTTTGGGTGGTGGCCCACCTCCACTCCCTGATGGCTGGCCAGGGGCTGACTCAGCTACCTGTTATAAAATGGGGCTGCTCTCAGAGCCACCGCCTCAGGTCTGTGGTGAGAAACACAGAAGCTAATGCTGTGAAGGCCCTTTAGAAACAGAAATGCTTTGTAAACATACGTTTGTGTCCTGATGGGGCTTGCGGTACTGGTCAGCCCAGGGGCAAACCAGGGTTTTAGCAGAGGAAATAGAGAGCAATTTAACAAATGGGCCAGGAAGAATCAAGACTGAAATGTTAACATTTAACCATAACTAGCATGTTGGCTCATGGTCCAAACTCAGTATTTGTGGCTGTTTCACATTATCCTATCAATCAGTGCCGGTTCCTATGTTCGTCTTTAACTCTTAGCACATATTTCTAACAGTTATTTAAAAAGCTCACCAGTAACCCAAGGGGATTGATTTGGCCATTCAAAATCGCTTCTTTAAGGAATTGCTTTCTGTCCCTTAATCTCTGATAATAGGAAAATAATCATTGAAGGAAGCTGATGTAGGTATTGAATCAAAGAAAGCTTGGTGCTTAAAAAGATGTCAAGTGTAATTTCATGGTTACACTAAAAGAAGACAAAAATGACTTGGAAGAAATCCAGAAGCCAGACCTCAACATTTTGGATTGTGTTCCTATTTTTATGTGCTGGCAGCTCCAAACATAGAATCATGAATTGTTCCTTTGGACGTTGCAAAGCATTTTTCCCATTGAAATAATGTGAACGTGGCTCTCGGCTTCTAAGCAAGACCAGAGCTCTGCATTGGTCTGTGTGTAAGTAAGCATTTTCATAACTACCACCTCCCAGTATTTCCACGAAAAACATGTTTGAGAACCCCCCGGACACGAGGGAGTCACATCTCTCTTCTTGCCTCACTCATGGAGGAGGCCTCTGCTTGCCCAGCTCCTGGGCCACATTGTCAGAAGCTTCCTCACGTCCTAAACCTCATGTGGGCAGCCTGATTCCTCAGGGAGAAAGTGGTTATGGGCTCCAGCAACAGTGAGAGGGGCGAGGGTCTGGAGGTGTGCTGACTCATCACGGTGCTGCAGCATTTCCAACTACCCATCCTCAGAGTCAATGTGTCCGGGTCACACTGGGGAGATTTTTTGAAACCGAGACTTCTACAGGTTTCCCCGTCTCTGCAGTTCTGATTCCAGAGGTCCGGGGTGGGGCAACTTAGGAATTAGTAATTTTTTAAAATTCCCATGATTCTAGAAATTACTGTTATCTCCATTTACTAAACTGGGAAAGTAAGAGCTGGAAATTAAATGCCTGAGATAAAATTACGCAGCAGTGAATGGCAGAATTAGGGCCCACATGCAGGTTTTCTGAATCTGGGTGCTGGACAGGGCCTCAGAGGGTGGTGGTGGACTTCTTAAGAGTTACTAAATCTGTTCCTCCCAAATCCAGTTTTTCAGGAATTATTCTGTTTGGTAGATGAGTTTATGTTTTTATATAAGCATATCTTGCTCTTATTTTGTATGTGTTTGGAGAAAAACTGATTGCGTGTCATATAGTTGCAGTCAGATGAAGTTGGAAGCAAACATCTCTTAAACCGTGTCTCACAGCATTGCCAAGTGCCCCCGCGCAGTCCCGTCTAGCAGTGTAACTGTCAGCCTTCTCCTTCTGTAGGCTCGCCGCCCCCTTCTCTTTACCACCTCCTTTTCTTGTACTGTCAAAAGCTTGACATATTAAAAAGAGGATTCTATAAAGGTTTGAAAACTGGGAACAGGAGCACCACTGAAGTGGTCGGGAACAGGAAAACCATGCCACCATCATCAGGAAGGGGTATTAATTAAGGGACAAGGGAGTCTTGGTAGAGAGGATGCTGGGAGAATCTCACGGGGGCCAGATCATCGATCAGGGTTCTGTAGGCTGGAGTGATAGGTTCAGCCTGGAACGCAGACATTCCAGGGACCAGAAGGAATTTGATTAAGCCATTTAATTAGGCTTCATGGAGCCATGCTGCCTTGATGTCTTGCACAATGATATGTTGTTCGACCTTTTTCCTCTCCCCCAGATTATTTCCACCACTTTTATGTTCAGATGTATTTTTATTTAATTCACTTACAGATCTGTATCTTTGTATCTGTATCCACCTCTATCTCTGTATATTACATTTAGCTCTATTCTCTGTGACATTTTATTCTACTTCTGCTTAACCATTTCTTGCAGATAGTTAACTAATCATTTCAACATCAGCACCACTTACTGAACAAGATTTTCTCTCTCCACTTGTTTATACCGCCCCCTTTTCTTATAAGAGGCAGTTTAAGGTATTTCTTCATTTTGCCTCTCTTATAAGAATTGATTGGTGCTTTATTAATCTCCCTGGCATCTGGAAAGGTGAAAATTGTGGAGAAAATTTCCTTTGTTGTACAGATCTAAGAACAGCCATTCACCTTACCTGTTCTTTCTGTCATCTTATCTTGTTGATCAAAACAGGATAACTGTTATTGGACATTTTAATGAATACCCTGGAAAATGAATTTCTACTGGTTATTTCCTGTCTCAGGACTTAAAACACTGTGCAATTTTCTCACCTTTCCAGTTACCAGAATAA